AAGACTTCCGTTTACACCATATCAAAGAGTGTCTTTTTGTCCCTTGACATGCAAAGTTTCATAATAATCGGGTAAACGATAACAAAAATATTTCCAAAAAATCATTTTCCATACCGATTTTTGGAAAGCTGTAATTTTTCTATTTTTTGAGTTAAGTCAATAAATTCTGTGCTCTCTATTCTCATTTGTAGAGGGGTATTCGTGGTTAAAATTATGCCACACATTTTTGAAACACGCGATATATTGCTACGAGTATAAAATTTGACAAAAAATAAAGTCATCAAAACAAAGTTAGGCCAAAACCATAAAATTTAAAATTTTGTTGTGAAAATTTGAATTTTTTATGTTGCTCATTAATGTGATATAAAGGCTAGACTTGAATGAATTTCATAATCTAGACTTGAATGAATTTCATAATGAGTTTAATGATTCAACAATCAAATGAGTAGGTACTTGTTGTAAATAAAAAATAAAAAAAGTTGCATAGCATTTTTTTGAACATTTAACCTTGATATACAGGCTGTCAGGAAAGTCGCGCACCTCCGTGATACTGTATCATCGGGCGATGCCCTAGACAACAAGAAAAATGTTAAAAAATTCTATCTATTGAGCGCCTTTTTCAAATTAAATGATGGGCATTATTAGTCAGCACTGCTAATCCGACAGAACAATATTAAAAAAAGAGTGTGTTTTGAAAAAAAAAGAGAAATGACAGTTTTGTAAATAAGTCAGACTGGTAATAAAATTTATGGAACTAAACAAGTTTTTTTTGATTTCATCCCGGCCATCCTCACACTATAAAAATTTCGAAGTTATGAGAATTTAAATTTTGCACATTGACTATATTTATTTCTGTTGGAAAAATAATTTTCCAAGTTTTTTTGTTAAAGGCCATCAGAAGAAGAAACAAGGAAGCTGTATCCTAAATTGTAACTCTGTCCAATGTTATTTTTGGCTTTTATTGGCAAAATTTTTATACCTTTACTAAATAATTACAAAAAAAACATAAACAAGATCATCAGTACCTATCCTTAAATAGATATAAAAAAATGTCAAATGTCAAAAATTTTTGACAGATAGAATTTTTTAAACATGTTTTCAGTATTCTTAGGGACTACCCAATTACTCTCTGACAAAGAGGTGCGCGACTTTCTCGACAGCCTGTATATCCAAAATGCAAAACTATTCCATTTTTTTGATGTCTGAAAAACCATTACCGTTTTCTAATTTTTAAAAAGGTCCATGTCGTTGCCTAATTCCGACGCTACAATCTCGGGTCACGTAGTTAAAATCCACTTTATTTAAATAACACGCAAGTCTGTAATTACAGACCGGCGCTAAATACCGACTTCACGCTACCCTTTTACTCCTAATTCACACGTTTTGTCAAAAAGACGTTTATTTTAGAAACGAGGATGCGAGCAGGATGTGTCATGAACAGTTTGATTGACTCATTGCCGGTAGGTCGTGTCACGATGTCGCTGTTCTGTTATCGACGCGATCACCGGCCATTTTATTGTCGTTACAAGAAACCGCGACTTCTCCAGGAGGACCACCCGGAGGCCGGCGACGTTTACACGAGACCAAAACAACCACCGACTCTTCTTAATCGCTTCCTGTTGCTAATGGGTTAATCAAGCCGGTTCGTAACCATACTCACCCCTTGACAAAAAAGGCCGACTGCGACGAGTATGTGCAACGGCATTTCCTTACGATCTTCTCCAGGAGCAGGTTATTCTGAAAAAATGCCAATTTTTAGTCAGAGGAAATGCAATTGCACGAAAAATTTGACCAAAATAGGTTTCTAATTTACTGCTAATTTGTGAGTGGCCTCCAGCAGACTTGACAGCTTAACGGCCCGACCCAAATACGAACACCTGCACGCATACATATGCTCATATTTCATGTATTCAATGCCTGACGGATTTGACAACACTGACAAAAGGTGGCGAGTTGGTTAATAGTGATAAAGCGATGGGTTTATTTTGACTTTAGTACAGCGGCGGCTCGTCAAGGGAGGCAGTGACTATTTTTACATAGTTTTAACCCTAATAATTTTTTATTTGTTCAAATGTTGATTTTTTTGCTCTAAATAATAGTGAACCAGTTTTAAATAAACCGCCGCGCCTTCACAGCTCTGGTAAGCAGTGCGCAGGTCATTATTGCGGCATGTCGCTGAAAAGAGCTGAGATTTTTGAAAAGGCTAGTACGTAATTCAAAATGTTTTTAGGCCAGAGAGTAACTTTGACTTGAACTTTGAGTGGGGCAGAAGGCAGCTCCGCCTTTTTTTATTAATCCAATGAGAATTAATTTTTCAATTTGCCGGGAATACTGAAATCTATCAATGTCAATAGTCAAATAATCCCAGATTGCAAAAATACAAAATTTAGTGTAGTTTTTTTTAGTGTATTGTTTGGTTGTTGTCAAAATAAGTGAATATGTGCGTCTTGAGTATGGATGTGTCTATGAAGAAGGTAACTATTAGAAATTGTTAGGTTTCGTTCAGTTTAATAACAAATAAATTTTCTCGACTTTCGTACGACGATAAGTTATACAGGGTGAAAATAAACTATGGAACCAAGCGGTTTTATTTTTGATCATTTCCCTCCAGAAAATAACAATAAATATAAATTAAAGTGATATACAAAATGTGATTGTATTTTCAGAACGAAATTTTGTTTTGTTTTTGAGTTATACGATTTTTTTGTGAAATTTGCAATTTTTGTGAAAAAATTTTTTTGAAAAAATTAAATATAAAGCAGATAGTTATAATCCTTAGAGTATAGCTTTTACAAGAAAAATGATTTTATAGTGGGTTGCCATTTAAAAAAATATTTTTTTTGTAGAACTCAAAAAATATCGAAAAATTTTATTTTTGTTAAATCATCACATTTTTATAGTACTTTATAATTTAACAATTAGTTTTTTCAAAAAATAAATAGTTTAAGCAAAAAACGTTTGGTTCCATACTTTTTATTCACTTGGTATGTAAAAGAATTGAGAGCACCTCGTCAAGATTTAAATAATATTTCTTTGCATTACAAGGAAGGAAAGTGTATTTTTTCTTCCCATAGGTGGAAGTTACTGCCCGAGACTTGTCAAATGAATCAAATACGACATGTCGAGGGCAGTAACCACCTAGCGAGGAAGACACTTTCCTCCAATGTAATACATATAATTTTTCCTAATATCCCAGTTTTGCCATTAAATCTAGCAGCATATTTTTCAGTTTCTTCTATAGGGGAGGTAAAATTTCTACCTCCCTGAGAGGTTTTATACATTTTCATTGTAATTTTGACAGATGAGGAAGGTAATTCGTGAAAAAACTTACTTTCTCTTAGGTCATAGGAAAATTAATTATTCATATAGTTTTGTCCTAGTATATTAAATATGAGTGGTTAACTGGAAGCAAAACACAAAAAAAAATTTTTGGCCATTTTCAAGTCGTGGTGAGGAATGTGGTATGACAACTTAAAGAAAGTATAGCCACAAATGTAGATTCGGACCCGCAAATTGAAATTAATAAATTTAATAAGTCCTTCAAAAAAATTGAGACATTTTAAAAAGTCGATTTTTGTATTTTTCTTTGCTGTTAAAAGTTAGCTTTTCGTGGTCAACAAAGCAAAGAATTATTTTTTAGTCATCAAGTATATGGCATGTGTAAGATACATTTCTATTTTTTATATAAAAAAAAGATCTGCCTCCTCTTAATAAAAAACTACGAAATGATGAAATGAAAAAGAAGCTTTTACAGGTTTTTAGAATATTTGTGAAAAAAATTGGTTAGACGTTTTATTGTGTCAAAAATAACAATCAACCGTAAGTGTTGCTTGGTTATACTTTCCGGCTGTGACACCGCAATAATTCACTTTTTGGGTTCAAATGAAATTATCTGAGTGAAACCTGTAAAAATTGTTACGTAAAGCTAAAATATGTTTCGAATATGAATTTGTCGTATGTGATATCCAAGTATGGTATCTGTCGGCCGGTACCATCTCAAACCTTGACAAAGTACCCTCGTTTTCAACCATTATCGTCCATATATCATGATTTGACAAGTAATTAAATGTCATCCGATAAGCCTATAAACTTGGTTAGTTGTCTCGTAAACATCAAAAATCATCCATTCCAATCTCCAATTTCAATTTTATAGAGACGTTAAATGGTACCATTATTCAGAGGCGTAAATCAAGTTGGGGGAATGCCGGAATGTAGGTAGTTACATGCGTATATGTCATTATAAGCGTGGTTTGCAGATTAATAACGATTTAAATTAAACGCCGTTGACTAATAATTACCATCGACAAACGACCAAAACAAATATTGAGTCGCTACCAACCGCGAAAAACTCATCTAGTTAACCGTACACGAAACGAAAATGAAACGTTTAAACAAAGTACAGTTCGACAATATTTACACGTGGAAATTGAAGATTCCGCAAGATCGGACGCTCTTATTTGACTTTATACTTTGTAATTTACGTGTTAACGAAGTTGAATTACGATACTCTTGGTTGGTTCGATTAGCACGACCCAGTTCTGTCACAAATCGACGACCACAATACGAGAGCGAGATGAAATAAGAAGGCATAAAGGCGACTACATGGTCATACAAAGGTCGTAAGTTACCTGTATGGACGGTTTATTACTGGAGTATGGAAATTGATGGCTAGGAAAAAGGCGTAGCTTTCGGACCTGTTCTATTACGTTCTTATTATAACAATAATATTTTTAAAATTACTGAGCTAAAATTTCTATTTGATTGACAAGTAGAGAATTTTGGTTAAAGTATCAGTTTTCCTTATATGGTGGTTAGGCAGTTGGTACCTATGTAAATTTGTAAGCACGTCCAACCATACCATTAACATCGATTACATGTATATCGTGTATACATGGAGTTGAATATACGTGACTACGAGGTACTGGCGCCTTATTATCATTCGACCGGTACCATTATCATTCTTCCATTCCCAGTAAGCTTTTTTCATGGTTTACCAGCGACGGTACTATCAATCAATCCTAAAGAAGTGAGGACAAAGGTCAAGGCTAGACGAACCTCGGGTCAACGAAATTATTATGATGATCAGAGTAGGTTGCAAAGTTGTACCTTGTGGTACTCCTATTTTGTTTTACATTCTATCCAAATTGAGAACATAGTAGGTGAAATGTATAGGTAGTAGTATTACAGTTGATAAATGGTTGTTCAACACCTGAACCCACGACATTGTCTCATTGTTTCCGACGACCTTGTTTAATCTTGATTACCTTTGACCTGTGAAACTCAATCTAGCATAAATCTCGACCCACACCTGGTTTTTGCTGGAATTTCATTCACGTTTTTGGTGGTATGTACTAAGTGGACAAAACATTGCTACCAAAGCAGTGGCGGCTCGTAGTTTTTTATTAAGAGAAGGCAAATCTTTTTTTTTGTATAAAAAATAGAAAAATACGATATCTATATTATATCTATAAAATATTAATGTAATATTAATAATATAATATTAATTAACTAATTAATATTATATTATAT